AATTCCCATCCTCTTTTCCTCTGCCTTCGCTACATACTAGTGGTGACTGTATCTGGCTATCTCTTCCCAACATGAACAATCACGTATGTGAAACTAAATCTTCCTCCATTACCCCATCGCTCCTGGCGTGACTTTGAAGACAATCTTTCACTGTGAGGCTGTTTCTCTTCCTGACCTCACAGACTTGATGCAGAATGGATTATGTTTCTAACTTTTGATTGCTCAGTGATGAGCAAAACACAAAGGAGTTCTGGGATGTGTTTGTATATTTGAACTTGGCAAGTAAGAGTCTGAAAAGATGCAGTGGTTAAGATCTACAGTGATGAACCTAACAGACTGGAACATGTAGGCTAGATGTACTGAAACCAGCATTGAAACCAAGGTGTTAGTTTTCATTTGTTCAACATTTAAAGATCTAAACTGAAGATTCGGATGCTCTGAGGCTCTAAAATCACTGTAGCTGGTTCAAGAATCCAGAAAGCTTTTTGATGAACAGCTGAAAACTGGCTGAGTTATCTGCATCAAAATGCCTTTCACCAGCTTGTGCCCATCAAAAACTGAAGTGCAAAGAAGCAAAGCTATTCCCTATGTTTTTCATGATGAGTGTTTTGGAACCAAGTTGGTTTATAGCTTTTGCTTTTAAAGCTGTGTTTCTCAAGATGGGTGTTTAAAATGGATTGAGGGTAACTGGTTTGCAGCTCCACTACAGATGAGATTATAAGTAGCAATCAAAACAAAAAAAGTAATAATTCAGGAGTTATTTCCTTGTACAGGATCTGCTTTTCAATAAAAACACACGGGAAACCTTTTCTATGAAGGCATTATAGCCTAGTTACCAGTTCAAGTAACTACAGGCAATCTTTTCTGTTGCTAGTGCTCTGGGCAGCAGATTTGTGTCTTAGTTTTTTTGTTGCTCATTTAGAGTAGTTGGATGAGCTGGAGCCAGACGTAATGAATAGGACATTTTAAGCCATTTCCCTGTTTTGTTTTTGTCATGGTGATGCCAAAAAAAACAACCCAAAAGATGAAAGAGATTGAGCTTTATTTCTTCTGCTTTCTTGAAAAGTCACATGTTGTGGAGCCAAACTTGAACATCAGACCACAGATTTCTTATCACTTGATTGACTTCCTGTACAAGTTTTAACCTCTTTCTTTATAATGGTGGCTCTGGCTGTAGAAATCCATGGACAAAAATGTAGTTTGTGCATGGTGTGAGTTTGTGGCTCAGAAAGTGGTAACCACTTTCTCTTTCGGTGTGTAAAAGGACTTGTTCTCATGTTAATACTTCTAGCTTCAAGCTGAATGTCTCAAAGTGCTCTTCAAGCAGGACACGCTTCATAAACCTAGCAGATTTTGTCTGATTTCCCCTTTGTTTATCAAAGCTGGATGTAATCAGATTTTCTTTGTGGAGATCATCACCTCAGCCTTCTCAACAAATACTGTTGGAATGTAACACGATTCATCCTTTTGTTCTGTGTAACTCTTCCTTTTCTGCTATGTGAAGGTTTTTCACGTTTCATTTACTGGTGAGCTTCAGATGGTTTGACTGAGTTACAAATACTGTGATCTGCAGAGCTTCGAAGGACAACTGTATTTATCTAAAGAGGTTTGTTAGTTCTTAGAATCAGCTCGGTGACAATCTTTGTCGTTCAAGCCTATTTCAAAGAAAGGTATTTTGACAGAATTTCTAGTCTAATTTGACCCAGGCAGCATTCTTTGGCTTCATTTTCTAAGTGTGCTCTGTTCATGCCTATTGCTTTCTATTTATTCTCAAGCTGCATTTCATTGTCTTTCAGTTTTTCAGCTTGAATTTTTCTTCTCTTGTGTTGTAAATCAGCAGAGGTCCACACATGGTCAGTAGTTTTTGTGTTCAAACAGCTCTTAAAATAAGAGACTTTGATGGGTGTTTACGTATAGCAGATCATGTACTCAAGCAGAAAAATGTGGGTAATACCTTATACCTTTCCTAGTCTTTTTCCAGCACTTTCCAAATAGAGTATTCTGCTTTATAACCACACTGTCCAAAGTATTTGCTCCAAAACATGTAATAAGATGCTTTGTGTTACAGGTTCTTTTCTTAATTGGGAAGTTTCTTAACTAATTTAGCTGTCAAATTATGCTTATGCACTAGAATACATTCTAGTTAGATGTGCTTACGTTGACTGCTTTAATGTGTTTTGAGACTTGGTGAAATAGATCAGTGTGAATGCTCCAGGTAAGGATGGCTGTCTCCTTCAAACTAGGTAGGAAGTGGAAGCCAGAAGGGAAGTGTAGAAAAGCTATTCTTGCTGTATGTTATTTCCTGAGTATGAAAATGAGATGGTTTGCAATGTGTTAGCAGGCATACATGTCATCCACTTTACAAACAGTGGGGCTTAGTTTAGGAGAATGTTAATAATGCACCTAACAGTTGAAAGATGCTTTCCTTCCCTAGGTCTGGAAACATGCTGGTTGTATAAAAGAGGCAGAGAGACAAAGGGCTTGCACAATATATACCCCCGGTTCAAACCAAATCCAGGAGTATAACTTGTGGAGCTTCACTCACTGTATCCTGTGCTGTCTTTGCTACAAGTGGTCAAGTTTCTGACCTTTATATAAAAACTTGATAGTATTGTATGTGTTCCTTGCTTGGAGATGTTAACCCTGTTTGTAGCACTTGCTCCTGTAAATTTGTGCCCAGAAAGATCCTTCAGCGGCAGAAATCCCAGACATCCTAGTTTTTGTAGTTCTGTGAACATCATACCCTCTGACCATACAATAATGAAGGTGCATGTGCCTAGGAGCTTGAATTCAAAGTTTGTAATCCTGGCTAAATCTTGGGTGCAAGTCCTTGTCTGGGGCTATGTTAGTCCTGGGTTATAGAATAAATATGGTGTGGGAGAAAAAATAAGACTGAAGAGGTGAATCAGTGCCCTGTGTGATGATGAAACTAAATATTTGCCCCAAAATCAAGCGGTGTTTGCTGCAAAGCCAGATTTAGGACAAAAAACAGTTTCTCAAGCTACTCTTTACCCCACTAGAACCACACCGTCTTGCAGTCAAATGCCTTATCAAGATGTTTGGGAAGGACCTCATTTCCATAAGGTTTCAGGAACTGGTAGTTTCTACGTCGGTTTATATTACTCTTTCAGTCTCTAGTTTGCTGGAGCAGTCAAAGGGAGATCCAGGTCTGTTCTGAAAGATCAGTGGAGTAAATAGTGCAGCCAGATTTGCACACACTATTTTGCTTATGTGGCTTTGTCTTACCTGGCATAATTTAAACATTGCAGACAGGTTAGAACTGTTGGGAAGGTCACTTCTTTGGTGACCAAAGGGAAAACATGCAAGTGCAGTAATGATGCAGTTAATACCCCCTGTGGGGGCAGCAGCAGTTTAGAAACCCTCGGTGGATTTCTCTGGCAATTTCTTTTTTGTTGTATTCATAAAATACAGAATTGTGTTTTTAAAAGAGGAGTTGATGTGCAAATATTTTCATGGCATTGTGAGGAACAGGAGGGACCTGAATGTGTTTTTCCAGTGCGATGAGTATTTGCTGAATGAGTCCCGGGTTGGTAAGTTTATCTTCCAGCTGAATCAAGTTTTAAATTGCAATCAAATGAATTTTTACATCAGGAATATTTTATTGATACAATACTCAGCTGGGGTTGAATTTCCAGGTGTGATTTTTCGCTGTAGACTTCAAAGGAGCTTCTGGTTTTATAAATAAAACTAAAAATATGCTGCAAAAAATAATGTTTCCAGGGTGTGTTTACTTTTGGTGGTGGTAATGTCTAGAAAATAGACTTGTACGAAACTATTCATGACCTCTTTCTGATTGTACATAGGTGCTCTTGTGGGGTTTGCTTATTTTGCCTTATGTTTGCAATATTTGAAGCGGAATTGAACAGATTTATTTCTTTTCCCTCCACCCTTTGTAGGCTCTACCCCTTTCCATGTCTATGAAATAAATCTGCCTTAGATGGTTACTCATTTAGATAAATTTGGAGTCTTTCTTACAGTTTTTATTGACTGATGAGGAGGCAGGAAAGGAGGAACTTCCAGACAGGCACTGACTGCTCCGTTGTGTAAGGATGAATGTTCAGAAGACTTCAAGTAGCTGCACAGTGCATCCAGCTGCTGTAAGGATGTTTTTCTTTGCTATAACTGCCTTCATCTGTCTTACAATTTATGTGAGGTGAGCAAGCTGCATCAAGCCTTGTTTAAACAGCACATTCAGAGATTTATGATGTATATTATTGCAATTGATGTAGTATGTGTATTAAGTGAAGTTTGTGTCAAGCTTTCTTTGAGCCTTGATTGGCATGAGATACATGCAGAGCATGTATTGAACAAGGTAGGGCTTCACAACTTAGACTGAGAATGTGCATACTGTCAAGATTGCCATCCCATGGAGGGGAATCTTTAGCTTTATTCATTGCAGATATTACTGAGAAGTACCTGGGATTGAGCAGTTATTTCTCTCCAGTGGTAGTGGGAGCAGATGCTTGATCCTGATCCTGAAATGTGCTGATTGTTTCCATGGTGCCTTGTGGATGTTAGGAGGGGATTGGGCACTGCTAAGCTGCCATCCCTCACTGGCTCAGCATCATCAGGGAATGCAGCAATGACCCTCTCTCCCTGGCATCCCAAGCTATGTCAAGAGACCAAGCAACAAAAGAGAAAGTCCTCTTGCCTCTGGACTTAGATGCAACTGAGGCATCTTCTGAGAGGTTTCATGGGACCCCATGGGAATCTTACTTCCCCTGCACGAGTTCTTTTCATGTTGCACATTTATCTCTTTGTCCCATTACTTTCTTCTATTGTGCTGTAGTCTTAAGTAAATACCACACTGCTCACAGCATCATTGCAAAACATCAAGAATTTATTAATTTCCAAGTAGCATAGAATGTAAAGTTAGGAGCTGTCTTCATGTTTCTTCATTCTCAAATCAAAAGCAAATCTATAAACATGTTTTCAGACATCTGTATAAATTACACAACCAAAGTCAGGGAGACTTTCTTCTCCTGCTTACACACAATATTTCCAGAAGCACTCGGAAAGATTCCCACGTTTCTTGTACTGTTTCCTATCCTTGGTCAAGAAGCGGCCCAGCAAAGCAATTCGAGGATGATTTCCGTAGAAAGTCTAAAGTCAAACACCATTAGACAGGTTACTGTTGGATGATAAATGTTCCCAGTGGGAAAGTCCATTCTTCAGTGCCCCAGCTGACTGCACAGCCCTGTGTTCTGACTGGGGGAAGGAGAGGCGACTGCCCCATGTGCCCTCTGATTTAGGTGGTGCACTGAAACTGGTCCCCGTCTTCTGCCTTTATATATAATTCAGCAGGAATTATGTTCTCTATTTACCTAATGGTTCATAACAAATCTGATAATACTGTGTAGCTTATGTTGTAGTGTTGGGGGGAAATGACATGCAGCTTATACTGGTTAATGGCCTGGCTTGGTGAAGCTGGAAGTTGGCCTTTATTTAGTAAAGCAGTTTTTCGGGGTGGGTAGAATGAAGAGCTCTGGATTTTTTGCTGGTTTCCCCACCTCCCACTTACCTAACTAGCTGATTCCTGCTTCAAGAGCACTGTGGCATGTTTTAGTCTGTACTGTTTATGAAGTCTTTGGTTCTTAAATGATGATAACAATTCCATGTATTTTAAAATGTGGTTTAAAATGTGGGGTCTTGTTTTTCTTGTTTCAGTGACAGGTGGTCATTTGCTTACCTCTTTGATATTTTCCCTTGGGTTGTAGCTGCTGGGGCTAAGACCTGGAGAGGGGAGACATAATGAAATGTTTACCATTTAGAAATGAGGAACCTATGCAAGGCATCGTGTGCCATGATTCTGGAGCCAGCAGGAGGCTGGAATGTTCAGTGGACCAAATAGAAAACCCTTTTGATGCAGCAGGGCCAGTTCTCCTTGCAGGATCTGGGATTCAGCAGATGCAAACTGTATTGTCCTTCAGCAGGCATCTGTTGCCCCCAGAACCATCTGCTGCTGTTGCATCTTCTGCAAGTACTGATGGTTTTTAAGAGACTGCTGTTTTGTTTTGTCTGCTAGCTCCTTCTAGGCCAGTTTTTGCCTTGCCCTGGGTTTGTTGTATGGAGGTTTTACTAAACTGAGTTGGAGACATTTTACAGCTAATATTGAGCTGCAAGCATGGCTGCTCAGCAGGTTTCCCCAAGGTCCCAGTTCACTAAATGTCAGCTATCTGTTGCTTGCACATAATGCTGTGCTCCAGAAAATACCCAGGAGTGGGACAAAATATTTATGGAAGCTGGACATGCAGATCATGGGCACTCCTCCATATATTGTTGTGGTAAATTCCTCACCTCCTTTATTGTCTTCAGTCAGTGTGCCCAAGAGCTCTGGCAGGAACTGAAGCAGGGAAGTGCTTCCTAGGCTGCCCAGTCTCTCCAGGTCTAATCTTGGATCTTCATCAGCTGCAAATGGAAGATGACAAAGAAGCATACAGTAAGAGGGTTTTTTGCTTTGAATCCCTGTTTCAGTCTGTCTCAGATGATTTCTCATCAGGTCTGTTGGCAGCCTGATGAAGACTATAATGAAATTGCTTATCCTCATTTAATGAATATAATAGGGATACTTGTGTGTTTTGTCTTGGGTTTTTTACTTCCAGAGCTTTGAGAAGAGATACCTTCCTGATGTTAATGCCAGGTCCTCATTTCTCTGGCAGGTCTTTCTTTAAGAAAGTTTTTTGACCCAACAGCAGCTGCTGCCATTGCTTGGGGAACTCACACACCAGTTTTTAGTCCATTTCTACATCAACTATGCTGGAGCTTTTTCATGAATAAAGACAAAGCTTCCTGTTCAAGGCCTATTAACCTGTTTGGTTTCCCAACTATTAAATGCAATAAAATGAGGTGAAGGGCAGGATAAATGTAGGAATATTTTGGCAGCTGTGCTTCTCGATGCGTTTCAGTCATCTCTCTCATTTAATGTGTGTACCAGTTGCAGATACTACTACTTTTTCTGAAACAACAGATAGCGGATACCTGATGGAATTAATTTGTAGGTGCATAGAGAATTTGGATTTCTGTAACTAGGCTGTGCCCTGGGGCAGCTCTTCAGTAGGAGCCCTTCGTGGTGTTACACTTGAGGTAAATAAGGCTTCTGTAATCTGAACAGTAAATTTCATGTTTGCTAATATATAGCAGACATTCAAAACTGGGGGCAATGAGAGGATGCTATTGTCAAACTCCAGTTGTGGAGATGAGTATTGTTTTCTAGTTGCACTTTTAGGTGATACTATGGCATTCTAGTTGCTCTTACCTGCAGGGTGGGTAAGAATCCCTAACTCCTTAATAGGGTGTATATATAAGAAAATAAGCTGCTGAAAATAATCCCTCAACACTTCAAAATCTTAGACATAGATCAAGAACATGAAGACCTTTGATGCCCACATTGTTAGTTTGTTCACTGTACAAATGGGCAGTTGCAAAGGACAGTGGGGATTTTGGTGTAAGACACTCTTTATAACAGTATTGTAACTTCCCAATAATAAGATAATTCCTCTCTCTAGCCTTGTATTGTTTTTAAATTCAGAGCAGTGTTGGCAGGTAAATTGATTTTGAGATTAAAAAACCCAAACCAACAAACAACAACAAAACCCAAACCAAACCACAAAGCCATAAATGAGAGCCCTCTTTAATACAGAGTTCTATCTTATCCAGTGCACAGACTTTATATTAGCAAGGAAGATTTAATAAGCCTAATGGATGTCTTCAAACAAATGCAGTAATGTTAGAGCCAGCTTGTTCACCCTGTGATGTGATAGATGCTATCCATACTGAGTCATGGTTGTCTGTAAATGCAGGTTACATAGAGGAAGGCTTAAGAAGATGCTGGCTTAGTGAGTCCAAGATGTTCAAAGCAAGCTAGGGACTACTGATACCTATAAACCAGCACAATGGCTGTTGTACCTGAAAACCAGGTAAGAACAGCCACTTCTTAATAGTCACCTTTATGCAGTAACTTTGGGTTTGATTTGCCTGGCTTTTCAGAACTCATTTCAGAAACTCTTCCAGTACAGGTCCGCTCTGATGACAGCAGCCATCCCAGTTGTTGTGCATCTTTACTGAGCTCTTCCAATCTTGATGTATGCTATAATGCCAAACTTTGAGGGCAGCTTTTTCAAGCCAAGATTCATTCTTCCATTGGACTGAATGGAATTTGCTTTAACGCAAACAAATAGCATGCTCAATACACTGTTTTTGTAGTGTAAGACAGATTTGCCTGTTCTTGATCTCAGTAGGAATGCATCAATCTCTGCAGTAGGTTTCCCCCTTTTTAAATACAGCTTCAGCTAAATATCACTGTACAGCCAAGTTTCTTTAAATTACTCAATGCCTACTAATGCTGCTTCAAAGACAGATGCTGTACATGCCAGCTTACATTCGGTGCTGGAAGGCTCAGATACCTTTGTCTCCTGGATCTCAAAGCAGCAGGAATAAATATTTAGGGCACCCAGTTTCCCCCATTTTAAAGAGTAGCCTTCACTGATGATGTCACGTGTGCTGCCAGTGTTGGGAAGAAATTCCCACCTTTGCTAAGCTGGTCAGCACAGATGAAGGCCCTTCAGAAAGCATAGCTGCTTCTCTTCTGGGTTTGCTGCTTCAGCCCCTGCTTTCTGACCATTAAAATCAAAATGCTCTTACCTGAGAGTTGATACGACATCTCACTGGCATTGATGATGGGGAGAGATGAGAGAGGACAGGAGAAGCCAATAATAATGAGACAGCAGAATACCAGCTTATGCATTGTTGCTGTGTTGGATGGATCTCGTCTTTGCCTACTCCTGTATCTCCGAACTCCTGTCTGTTGCCTCTGCTCCCTGTTTCACCCGTTATATAGCCGCTCATGACCTCATAAATATCATCATGTTCTCTCCCCCCTTCAGAAGAAAAAAATCCAATGAATTTATTGCCCATTGATTCTAAATGGAAACCACTTTGCATTGATGTAATTTTTCAAGGTAACAGTTCATAGACAATAAATTTACTGTCTTATAGCTTGGTGTACAAAATGGATATTATATCAAACCAAGCACAGTAAAGTTTATAAATCTGGCATTAAAAAAAAAGTAACTTCCAGTTATAAATCATGAGTTAACAAAAGGGTCAGACATTAGTTGAAATGACCAGGGCAATCAGACAGCTGATTTATGAGCCTTAGCAGCCTTGACGCAAAGCATCTGATATGAAATTCACTTTTTTTTTCTTCTTGGGAGATGGATGGATGTGTTGTGTTGTATTTGGGGTTCTTGTGCCAGAAAAAGTACAAGAGAAGGGGAGTTAAAATATCGAGTTCATTTACAAAGGGAATGGAAGGGGAGTTTGATTTCTGAGCTCCCCGAGCCCCCCAGAGCATTTCACATCTATTTATTTGAGAAGACCTCATCCAATGTTGCCCTAGAGAACTGTCTTGGCAGAGAAAGCACAGCTTCCATCTGGAGACTTGCTTGGTACATATAAACTACTTTGGCTGATATTAAACACAGGTCCCTCGCTAGACTGGGAGACCCTTTTCCATTTTGCTTATCTTCTCTTTCCCCCATTGGAACTAACTACCTAATTCTGTGTGTGTTAGCTAAGGGTTTTTGAACTTTTTCAGCTTTTGCTTTTTTTTAGTGCTAGCACAGTAGTTGCTGTATGTAATCTCAAACTTTAGTCTTCATTTCCCTCCATCTAGCATATTTTGTCTTCTCTACTTACTATTTAGTATCAAAGAGAGAAGACTAACTGGACTGGTCCCTCATCTTCATTCTCTGTGAAGCATCATATCCGACTGTATAGAGCCTTGTAAGTAAGTTACAACAATTTTGTTTCCTTCAGGTGGTGAGAAGGTTATGGCTGTTCAGGTTCATAAGGAATTAAAGTTTGGTAATTTTCTTTCCTGCCTCTCTAATCAAATGCGCCTTTAAATGCGCTTCAATATACTGTAAAATTCAACTAACGTTACTGAAATTCTTTCCCTCTGCTGAATTGTGTGATAATTTTAAGTTGCAAAAGGAGTGATCTGCTTGCTTTTGTCTTCATTAAGGTTTCCTGTTGAAGATTAATTTTTATGTTGTAAATTTGGTGACTCCTAGGGTTAATTGCAGATTAACTACAACCGTCATCTAGAGCAGGGCTATTTCTGCTGCAAGTCTAATTCAGAGAGAGCACACCCCATGCTAACGGGTTGCCCAGACAAGCTGTGGACTCTGTGAATCTGGAGCTCTTAGAATCATAGAATAGTCAGGGTTGGAAAAGACCTTAAGATCATCCAGCTCCAACCCCCCTGCCATGGGCAGGGACACCTCACACTAAACCATCCCACCCAAGGCTCTGTCCAGCCTGGCCTTGAACACTGCCAGGGACGGAGCATTCACAACCTCCCTGGGCAACCCATTCCAGTGCCTCACCACCCTAACAGGAAAGAATTTCCTCCTTAGATCCAGTCTAAACTTCCCCTGTTTCAGTTTGAACCCATCACCCCTTGTCCTGTCACTACAGTCCCTAATGAAGAGTCCCTCCCCAGCATCCCTCTAGGCCCCCTTCAGATACTGGAAGCTGCTCTGAGGTCTCCACGCAGCCTTCTCTTCTCCAGGCTGAACAGCCCCAACTTTCTGAGCCTATTGTCTCTTCTATTGTAACCTCCCCTGCTCAAATCAGGGTCAGGCAGAGCAGTTTGTCCAGGAGTGTATCCAGTCAGGTTTAACAGCTCCAGGGATGGAAGGGGACTGAATTTCAAACCAAGGCTTTGTCGAGGCTGTGGGCATCCCCATGTAAGCTCAAATGCTCTGCTTTGAGTGTAAAGGTGGGAGAGGTAAGAGAGGACCTGCAGAGGTCCTTTTAACCTAAACTTCTCTGTCATCCTGTGTGTACAGAGGTCTAATATTGACTTACAGGACATATGCTGCAGGTGTCTGAACTACAAATCCTGTTTCTCGGGACTTTTCTTTGCTGAAGTGAATGGATATGACAAAGTAATTTCTCTACAGAATTAACCTAATTCCTGTATTTTATGCACCTCTTTCCCTGTGCTTTCCTATGAGAGAAGTAACAAGAAAGGAATTCTCTCTCCTCATCTGAGTCATGCAACTCTTCATTCCAAAACTGCAGACAGTAATTAGGTCTGATTTGATGCATGATCTCACTGTTGGTGCTGGATGCCCTGTACAATGCTTCTCCTTCAGTGAACTGTCAATGACAATGGCATTGTCAATATTCACTCTGAGCATCCTCCAAAGAAAGCTAATGAAGCACTCTTCACAAGCAACCGATGTCCTTTATCTTCTCTCAAGGAAGACTCAGCCTCTTAGAGCCATCATGAAGTGCGTCATGTGGAAGTCGGGCAGCTTGCCCACAGCTTATTGCCTTTACTCAGATTTGAAATGGTCACTTAGACACTCTTTCCTCTACCAAAATGTCAAAGGCATTTTCCCCGGGGGACAGTGCACACGTCATCATGCAAAGCAAAGAAACAGCTCATCCTAAACGAAGGTACAAAGCGCTGAGCACGTGGGTGAGGGACGTAAGTGTGAACTGCACTTTGAAAACTTGGGAATTGACTTAATTCTTACCAAAACTGGTTTGTGGGCAAACTTTATTCTCATAGGCTTTGAGGTGCCTCGGTGTAACGTTAGAGAGCAGCAGTAGTCCAGATAAATCACTGAGCAAACTCAAAGTAGTAAGTATGTGCTATCCTATCATAAAATGTTATTCTTAATTATCAGAAGAAACAGCTATTCTTAGTTTGAAGTGATGGCTCGTGAAGACTAAGTTGCTGATGAAATCACGAAAAACTTAAAGACACAACAAAACCACCCACCAAAATCATACAAAAATAGGAAGGATTAAATCTCATCTATAATGCAAAAGCTCTTTCCCCTGTTTTAAACTGCATTACGATAAGCAAGTGTAAGTAGTTGTTTTAGTGCAGTATTGTGACACTTGGAAAGAGCAGGGATTTGAGAGAGAATGCGATTTAGCAGCAGCATTCGCATGAGGGACTTTTTCCTCGGTATAACTTTTGATGTAGCTTTGGCTTGAATTTAGTAATTTGCAGATGAGCTTGTTTGATGTAGGTTTCCAGCTCTTCCTTGAATTTTACTAGAATTTTTAACTTAACCTGTTGTTTCAATGGGTTTACACATATTGGCTGGTGCGAGAGAAAAACATACCTGTAGTATTGCTTGCTTCCCTGCTAGGGTCTAGCTTATCATTGAGGCATTTTGGGGAGGGGGGTTTGCTTTGCTGTCACTGCTGCTTTAGCAGATTGTGGCCTCATTAACACCAAAGTTGTTAACACTAACTTAAAATTTCCCATTTTAGCTGATTGCTCAGCTTTGTGACATGATTGTTAGACCACTGTGAAATCATGTGTGCAGTAAGGCTTTTTCCTGCCGTTAGTTTGCATTGCTTTATGTGTACTCTACATTCTAGAGCGTGCAGAAAACAGCCTATTGGGAGACTCAGCAGATCAAAGGAACAAAACCAACCGTACCTTGGGCGCTTGCAGTTAACTTCCTCCTTTGAAGATGCTGCTTCTGCCTAACTGTAATGTAGCACACGTGGTGTATGTTCTGTAGAATCACGTAGCACTACATGGTGTGTTTGGCTGTGCATAGTAGCATTTCTATCTTCTGAGTTTCTCTGAAAGTTAAGCAGGATCTCTGAGAGGTTCTGACCTAGGTTTTCTTGCTCTCTGGTGGACTGAAGGGGCATACGTGTGCTTCACAGAATACATACCTGTGCGTAAAAGGAGATGGCAGCAGGTCCATAGGCCTTTCTGAAGATATTTTGCTGCAGAATTGGCAAATTGTCTAAAAGTTCTCTGGTAGAGAAGCACAGCTGCTAAAACACTGCTCCTTTGTGGTAGAGTTTCCACCAGTTTGGGAGGGAAAAACCCTCTTGATTTTTGGCCCTGCTGGGCTGGCAGACTGTAGTCTGGGTATATTCTCCAAGTGAAGCTTGACAAACTGGTCCTTAAATCCCTGTCCTCTCAGCACTACAGAATTAGAAAACTTGAAGCTTCACACTGTTGGACATGAAGGAAAGTAAGTCTGGCGTGACTGGAGCTTGGAAATACAGCACATCACATGGGAATTGGGTTCTGGATAATGCAGCTGCAAACCGAGGAGCAGAGACCAGATCCTGAAATCAGGTTTCTTCCACCAAAAATGTAATGGAACTAACTATGCAATTGCAGTTTATTTTTAAAACTGCAATTATGAGAGCAGGGAAGTGCTGATTCTTTTCTTAGTAGTGGGGATGATGGGGGATGGGCAGCCCAGGCTGTTGTCTTGCTCTTGTTCTGGCTCAAAGTGAAGAAGTGCAGAAATACTAAAGCAGCAAATTGCAAAAGATGGATGAGGTATAAGAGGTGTCTCCCGTATCTCCCTGATTGAAACTGCTTTATACCCTGTCAGCTGCAGGGTGCAGATATTGGACACCTATGAAGAGTTTCCTGTCTCTGAAGATGGCCTTGTTTCACTGTCTGCAAAGCAAGAGGCAAACAGCTTGCATCTAGAGAGGGCATGGAACAAAGGCAATTTTGTCACAGGTATCCTTATGCTTTTCTTTATTTTCCTGTTCAAATGTTCACCTTTGTGTACTTATTTTATTCACCACAGAGTCTCAGGATCACTCTCATACCCACAGCGGGTACGAGAGGACAAATTTCAAGTACTTCTATAGAAGTTCAGTGTGTGGGCAGGAGCTATGGACTAATCCAAGAGGTATCCTAATGATCACTGGCATTTAACTGCCCTACTCAGCGTAGGCAGTAAATGAATGGCTCACAAAAGCAGACTTTAATTTTTTACTTCACTTCCCGAG